TGAAATATGTATTTTTTGAAAATAAATAAAAACAATTATTTAATATTATTTTATTTAATATTAATTTATTAATTTTAATTTATGTTTTGGTTAAAAAATCAGGTTAATATTTGTTGACACTTGATTCATGTGAAGTTAGAAAAACTTTAAATATGAAGGTAATGCAGATTTTCATTTTCAACTGTTTTTACGAAACAGTTTTTAAACGGCTTTGCCCCCAATGACATACATTTTTTATTTTTAAAATTTAATTTATTTAAATAAAAAATAAAACCTAAATTTCATGCAGATCGTGTAGATAAATGTTTCATTTATTTAAGCAAAAAGTTTTTAAGATCTAAGTGCTTAAAACAATTTTTTAAATTTGAATCTTCGATCAACGAAATTTTCATCTCTTCCTTGCAAAAACTATTTTTATGTTATATTTCCTAATATATTTAATATTTTTTAGCTGTTTCTTTTCCAATCTATTGCTTTAATCGTATTAATAATAAACTGTTAACGAAAATGGTAAGAGAAAGAAGATATTTCGAAAAACGCCTTTGCCCCGCATAGCGGCTTTGTCCCGCTTTTCCCTACGTATTTTTGCGTGTAAATTACAGGAAAAATATAGCGAGCATAATTGGAGTTGATGTTCATATTGTTTTTAAGGAAAACTCATATTTTTAGAAAAAATCATGGATTTTTCGAATAAAAAAAGAAGAAAATTTTATCCTAAGGGAGCCAAATTTATACTTTTTTACGTATTTTTACGTGTAGATTACAAAAAAAATATAGCGAGAACAATTGGAGTTAATTATCATAGTGTTTTCAAGGAAAAACTGATAATTTTCGATAAAAATCATGATTTTTCCCCAAAAAACGAAGAATATTTTATCTAAAGAGTTTCAAATTTATACACTTTTACGTATTTTTGCGTATAGATTACAAAAAAAATATAGCGAGAACTCCAATTGTGCTTGCTATATTTTTTTGTAGTGTTTTGCCATTCTTTATAATTTGCCATTTTTGCCATTTTCTTTTTTTTACTATTTGCTATTTTTTTTATCTTTTGACATTTTTTATTTGCTGATATTTTTATTATTTGGTGAAATCTATTAAAAAAATCATAAAATTGAAAATGTTAAATGATAAAAAAATTAAAAAATTTTTAAAAACTTATGATAAAAATATCATTAAAGTATTATTCCATGCTCACATTACAGGAAAAATTAAGCAAAATTGGAATTTTTCCATCGGCCTTCACACTTTAAACCCCTCAAATTTTAGGATTAGGGGTACGGAACCCTCGATTTTAATGCGAGTGTAACTCGTACTTGTCCGATTTTTTTTTATTTTTATTATAGATTCTAATTATGTTCTACAGAAAGTAATAAATCACAGTGCTTATTGTATTTTGTAACATTCTTCTTTTTCACTTTTTCACGCCATTATTAAATTATTTTTAAACTGAGAAAATAGTTTCAAAGCAAATAAAGAAAATCGGTGTAAACTATTAGAAAAATTATTCATGGTTCGTTAATGCGCGATGATGTAAGAAAGACAAATTTGTAGCAAAATAATAAATATGATTTCATCTTCATTGTCTTTAAATTTTATGTGATTTTAGAAGAAAAATATTTACATTTAAATTATTTTCAACAATATGTAATATTTAATTTATTTTTTTTTAATATTTCATGATTTCTAATATCAGTCAGTATGCAATTTAATATCTTCCAATATATAAAGTTTTGTGATTTAAAAAATATGTAATGCTAAATATGAAACAGAAATTATTTGCTTCTTTATAATATTATATATATATATATATATGCGACTATAAAAATACTTTAATAAAAATTTTCCATTTTAGATTCTAAGCTATAAACAAACTAGTTTATCTTATTGGATATCGGACTTAGCACATATATAAATCTGATAGCTCAACATATCGACTTTAATTGATTTAGAACTTTCTGAACTTTTTTTTTCCAATACTCGGCGAATTTAATCCGTAATCTTAGGAAGGCCCACACGTTACGCATTATTATTGTAAGGTCTTTTTTTTCATTTTTATTCTGTCACATGTAATTTGGGTATCAAAACATTTTCTCGAAAAATAATTTATTTTATAATTTATTTATATTCACATTTTTATTTTATATCAAAATCTTTATTATTCCAAAAACAATCAATTTTTAAAGTAGGTAATTTTATACAAATAAATATATAAAATTTATGATAAAAAAACGTGTAAAATTTTTTTTATTTTATACAAATAAATTTCTTTTTTAAATTCTCTTTATGTAATTAATATAATTTAATTATATTAATGAAATAAAAAAATTCAGTAAAAATATAAAAGTAAGTTTTTAGATTTCTTTATAAACTTCTTTAATTTTTTTCTTATTTTACTTTTTGTTTAAAATTTAATAAAGAAATCAGTCAAAAATTTAAAAATTCAAATATAAGGAAACAAATTATTATAGGTATATACAGATATTAAAACTACAAATTAAAAATATATTTATAATTTTAAGAATTTTATAAAAATCTAAATTTTTTTTATTTAAAATAAAATTCAGTCGATAAATAATTTTGAAAAATTCGCTATCATGTGGCGCATTCTATTCGAATTTATAGTATATTAAATGAATATTGAATTGTTCATCGGTAAGTTGGATTTCTTTCTTTTTCTTGGAAAAATAATAAAAAATATTTTTTCAATGATAGTTATTTAAAAAAAAATTTTTTTTGACTTTGTTATTGTCAATAAAAAAAAATTTTAAATAAAAAAGGCGAAAAAAATAAGAAAACGGATAATTATTTTAATAGTAGAAAAAAATAATATAAAAACAAAAAGAAGGTAGAAAATAAATTATATATAGTAATAGAAGCAGAAGAATATAAATTAGATTTTCTGATATTATAAAAAAAAGGGAAAAAAATAAATACTGAAAGAAATTGAAAAATTGCAGAATCTTATTAAATTGACACTTTTAAACTAGGGCAATGTCAATTTAAATATATAAATCTCCCCAAACCTCTATATACCTCTATAATTTATAATGACTGTACATGGAATTATATATACTTTTTTAAAAATAAATCTTTTAGTTAAATTATTGTCCTGATGGGACACGTATCGAAGGATAAAATATTTTTAATATACTAAAGTGTGTGTTTTTAACGATGTCATGTGGGAATTTTTTCACTTTTTCAAAATCAATTTGGAAATATTCGACATCAATTAAAGTTAGTGTCAATGTAATATTAACTTTTTAGAAAAAAAATATATATATTTTTTTTTGTCTCAGAGGCAAAATAAATATTAATTGAAAAGAAAATTTTATAAAATTTTATATGTACAAAAAAAATTTATTAGTAAAAATTTGTTACTATTTTTTTTTTTTTTGGTATTCCATACCAAATCAGACATTATTTTGCATTTACATCACTGATTTTTTTGAAACTTTTTTTTCTTTTAGTACTAATTTTTCAATTTTATTTTGCAAGCCATTTATAACATATGAATTTTTCAAAATTTCAGAATTTTAATGATTTTTTTTTTATTTTTAAATGCTTATTTATAATTTTCTTTAAAATGTGTCAGATTAAATTTTTTTTTTAGTTTTGTGTTTTTACATAAAGTTTTCGAAAATTTGGTTCGAAAAATAATTTACTATATTTTTTGCAATTCAAAGGGAGGCAGCACCCCCAATTTTGATCCACTTAAATTTAAATTATTAAAGAAGATTGTATTTTTTTCTTGCATCATTTGGGTCCTAAAAATACATAATATAATGTGGTCAAAAAAAGAAAATTTTAATTTTTGACCATTTTAGAATTTTTATTTTTTGAAAAAATTAATATTTTTGAAAATGGATGCGAGAGATTGTTAATAATTATTAAAAAAGCGTGGAAAAAAATTAGCGATGAAAAATAGTCAAAATTCAAAATGGCGGAGCCAATAATGCGGACAATTATTTTAAAAAATGGCAAAAATGATTTAAAAATACTTAAAAATTGTTACTTGGGGGTTTTTGGGGTCGCTGATTACGAATCTAAAGTCAGATTTCAAAAATTCAAAATGGCCGAGCCAATACGGCGGACGATTTTTCAAAAAATGGCAAAAATGATTTTAAAATACTTAAAAATTGTTACTCGGGGGTTTTTGGGGTCGCTGATTACGAATCTAAAGTCAGATTTCAAAAATTCAAAATGTCGGAGCCAATATGGAGGACAATTTTTTTTAAAAATGGCAAAAATGATTTAAAAATACTTAAAAATTGTTACTTGGGGGTTTTGAACGTCGCTGATTATGATATTCAAGTCAGATTTTGAAAATTCAAAATAGCATAGTATGGATGTGATTATTATTGTATCCATTTTGAATTTTTGAATTTCTGACATCAAATTCGGAATCAGCGACCCCAAAAACCCCCGAGTAACGAGTTTCAAGCGAATATGGTCAATTTTCAAAATTTTTGGTCGCCATATTGGATCCGCCATTTTGAATTTTGTAAATCTGACATCAAATTCGGAAGCAGTGACCCAAAAAATCCCAGACTAACAAATTTTAGGCCAATTCCGTCTTATTATTGGGCTCAAAATTTATGTGCGTGTATACACGTCATCGACATTTTGGAGCCCACCTATTCCATGACGTGTATACACGTCATCGACACCCAAGGGGTTAATTTTTTAAGACTTTAATTTCTAAAATGGTCAAAATTTTTTATTTTTTTGACAATCCCAAAATTTTTATAGGACCCAAATGATGCAAGAAATAAAATATAACCTCGTTTTAATAATTTTAATTTAAGTGGGTCAAAATTGATATGGAAATAAAAGGTTCGTATTTCATCATTCTAAAAATCGAAACTTGTTAAAACATCAATTCCACGTGCCTCGGAAGCACGTGGTTTGAAACCTAAATAATTCGAATTGCTTGCCAATAAGGTTTCAGTCACTTGCACTTTCTGCTAAAGTGATTATAAACCAATACCTTTTAAGGTCAAAAGGCCTTCGTGCGACCGTCATTCAGTTACTGAAGGTAGACGCGACAAATAATGGATTTTATATACAAAAAAAAAGTATATCCACGAAATATTGTCATCTTTACTTGACTTATATATTTTACAATGAAAGTTATATACGTTCTTCAGTAATCTCTCGTGTATAAGATTAATTTTCTTTAAAACTATAAAAAAAAAAAAATGAGTGAATATTATTTTAAAATATAAAATTTTAATGGATTTTCTAATTTTATAAAACAAAATTATAAAAAAAAGTTTCAAAGTCAAAATAAAATTTTGAAAATCCAAATAAAATTCATAGAAAACGAACATAAATTTAAAAAAAAGAAACTCGATTTATAAAATCTTTATTGAAACGCAAAAAAATTTTGAAATTCAATAATGAAACGAGCCAAATCAGAAGATGACTTACAACCTTCAAAATGGAATGTTATCCGTAATTTACTGAGTAAAAATGGATTAAATCTGAATACATCTAAAAGTCAAGATTTTGAAGTGAGTTGAATTAAAATTTTAATAAAAATTTTATATTTTCAGTTTTGTTAAATTTTGCGAATAAACCCGGAGAAAGTTATATTTAAACCAAAAATATATTTTATTTTTGAATTAAATAAAAAATTTATATATATTTTTCACAGAGCTAAAGATTTATTTATTTGAACCAAATAAAATCAAAATTTTAATGAGAGGGACCGGTAAAATTTTAAACCATCGAAATTAATGTTTAGGGTTGTCAATATTTTTTTTGACAATATTGAGTATTTAAAATTTCCAATATGAAAAATTAAAAAAAAACAATTAATTTGTTAATATTTTTTCAAATAAAATTAAAAAACTGACCTTCTTTTACAATTTCTTTTGTTTTTCATCGACTTTTTTTTAATGATTTTAACAATCAAGCGTATGGATTTTGGGAAATTTAAATTTTTTCAAAAAATGCAAATTTTGAAAAATAAAAAAAATTTATAAAATAATTAAAACTTTTTTTTTTCTTTTTAATAGTGAAATGTGATTTCAGGTTCTGAAAAAATGCCAAAAAAAATTGTTTTCCTCTAAACAAGGTTAATTATTTGATTGGTTTAAATTTTACTGGTGATTCTTTAAAAATTCAACTTCTTCCATAATTTTATTTATTTTTCTCATCACCTAATTTTTTTTTTTTTACGTTTTCTTCATGATTTTAAACAACCTATCGTATGGATTTTAAAAAATTTTTAATTTTGCAAAAAAAATAAAATTTTCAAAATTGACAAAAATAATTTTTATTTTAATTTTAATAATAGATAATTTTAGATCCTAAATGGCAGAAAAAAAAATTTACTCCCATTAACGACATTAATTTCGATAGGCTGAAATTTCACTTGTCTCTCCTCTTAAATAGTATGAATTATATAGAGAAGTACTTACTTTTACTTTTAAAAAAAGCCTCTCGAAACTTATTTACGACAATTCACGCAAAACAACAGAATTTTTAGGTTGGGAGTCTTGTAAATTGATATATAACAGTGCAAGTGCCAACCATGTAACACAAAATTATTGATATGAGCGCTAAATTCAAAATGTTTTTGAAATATAACTATTTAGAGAAAAATAGGGGTGAGGGGGGGCCTAAGGCTTATATTTAGCCTCCTTAGAATTTAAATTTAAACCATGAAAATTTATTTCCTAAAAATAAAAAGTAAATTTTTAATAATTTAAAGTGAACAATTTTTTTTTTTAATGAAGAAAAAATAGTCCTAAAAATATTTTTAAATTGTTACAAAATCGCTTGGAACTTGTTACTCGGAAGTTTTCGAGGTTGCTGATTATGAATCTCAGGTCAGATTTTCAAAATTCCAAATGGCGGATCCAATATGGTGAAAGAATTTTTGAAAAAATGATCGAATTCGCTTGAAACTTGTTACTCGGGGGTTTTCGGGGTTGCTGATTATGAATCTAAGGTCCGATTTTTAAAATTCAAAATGGCCGACCCAATATGGCAGATGGTTTGTTAAAAAACGTTTGAAACTCGTTACTTGGGGGTTTTTGGGGTCGCTGATTATGAAACTGAGGTTATATTTTCAAAATTCAAAATGGTGGATGCAATATGGTGAAAGAATTTTTTAAAAAATGAACAAAATCGCTTGAAACCGAGGGGCTGTTCACTGAAAATCCAATTGAACAATATTTGAGAATTCATTAAAGATTTTTAAGGATTGCTAGTCATTTTTGTAATTCCTATTTTGAAATTAAGGGAAATAGTGCTTTCATTTTATTTGAAGTAATTACTTGCAAGAGTAAGATTGCAAGAAAAATAGATTAATTGTATAATTCGCCGCCGAATTCGCTCGTATGTCTCCGTAACCATTCGTGACTCGCAACAATTCTTACTGCATGATTTAGAATTTTACTGGAATCGACGAGATTCGTTTGGATTCGCATAGTATTCGACAAATTCGAACGTCCTTTTCAATAATCGTCGGTAATCTCCAATTAAAATACAATATATTCAGAATCAAGAAATTTACATTTTCTTATGTTAATTGATGAATATTCGGAAGATACCTAGTATATTCTCTACATTACAAATCGGGTATTCGAGAGTGAACAGCCCCTCGCTTGAAACTTATTACTCGGGGGTTTTCGGGGTCGCCGATTATGAATTTGAGGTCAGATTTTTAAAATTAAAAATGTCAGATCTGATACGTCAATTTTTTTCAATTGAACGGATTTGATTTAAATCTTGTTAGTCATGGGTTTTTGGAGTTACCAATTACGAAGTTAATATTAAACTCATAATTTGCATCACACAAAAAATTCCCAATTAACGAGTTTCAAGTGATTTTGTAATTTTTTTTTTACTAAATATGTATACTAATATTTTTTCTAATTAGTAAAAATTATTTTCAACAAAATTCAAAAATATAGAGTAACCCGATTAGTTAAATTAATTAATTAACTAAAATAAATATAATTATTATAAATATTGAAATTTTCTATTATAAGGATCATGCTACCAAAAGTAGAAAAAAATTAAAAACTGAAGAATCTGAGGAATCAATAAATCTCTATCCGAATTGTGATGGCTCTATTTGGACAAGATCGTGTGAACACGAAATCATTAAACCAATTTCGGGAAAAATTACTGGAAATATTCCAAAATGGTTAAAGGGATCCTTATTAAGAAATGGACCTGGATCATTGAAAGTTGGTGAATACACATTTAATCATCTCTTTGATAGTTCAGCTCTTCTACATCGGTAATTATTATTTTTTTATAATTTATTTTCTATAATTAAAAAAAAAATTTATTTCTTTTTTCATTCAAAGAGAAACAGTAAAGTAGTTATTTTTACTTTTTTTTTTTTTAAATATGTTACTGAAAATTAGTTTTGCAATTTCCGATGGAAAAGTAACATATCAAAGCAGATTCGTACAAACGGAAGTGTTTAAAAAAAATCAAAGCGCCAAAAGAATTGTTGTAACAGCTTTTGGTACAAAATCAGTGCCAGATCCTTGTAAAAGTATTTTTCAAAGGTTAGTAAAATTTAAAAAAAATAATTTTTTTTCAAATATTAAAGAAAAATCATCAAAGTGTGTATAAATAAAATTTGTTCTTTAAGAAATAAAAAATTATATATTTTGCAGAATTTCAGCAGCATTTCAACCTGAAAATAGTACTTCGGACAATTCTATGATATCGGTTTATCCATTTTGTGATGAATTTTATACATTTACAGAAAGTCCAATTATGCATAGAATAGATCCAAAAACCCTTGAGACCTTAGGAAGGGTATTATTTTTTTTTATCTTTTGAAAAATTTTAAATTTACAATATTCTAGAATATTATATAAAATTATTAATTTACTTTACTATTATTGTTATTATTATGATTATTATTATTACTATTATTATTAAATTATCATTATTATCAATTAATTATTGTAAAAAAATTAAATTTTTTTTTAAATTAATACCATCAAAACGTTGCCAAAATAAATATTTTGGAAAAAAATTTCAATGAATCTAATTTTGATTATATAACTTAAAATATTAGAATATATTTAAAAATTAAAATAATATTATTTACTTTTTTCAAAAACAAAAAAAAAGGTAGATGTATCGAAATATGTATCGATAGTTAATCACACATCTCACCCTCATATAATGAAAGATGGAACAGTTTACAATGTTGGAATAAATATTACCTCACGTGGTCCAGTTTATACTGTTGTTTCATTTTCACCCAGTAAAACTATCAAAGGTAAAATTTTTTTTTAAATTTTTATTAATAAAATTAAAATATTTAATAATTATTCAATTATCTGACAAAATATAAAAAAAATTGGGACGCATGAATATGTTCTAAAAATCATTAGTTAGAATTTTCATTTTATAGAATTTCATTTTTCAAAATTATTTTTGAGCCAAATTTTTATTTCCTCGAATTAGTATTTTGCAGAATTTTCATCAAACCGATTTTCTATATTACAGAATTTTTTTATGAAAATTCACTTCACAGAATTTTTATTTGTTCGACTTTTTATTTAACAGAATTTTTATATGCTTGAATTTTTATTTAACATAATAGGTATTTTAAAGAATTTTTATTGGGTAAAATTTCATTGCATAGAATTTTTATTTTATTCTTTCAGATGAATTTTCATTTGTTCGAATTATTATTTCATATAATTTCCATATAATCGATTTTTCATACTACAGAATTTTTACTTAACCGAAAATTAATTTAACAGAATTTCTAATTAAGGCCAGGTCCAAGTGAGGCAGCGCCAACTACATTGATACTAAAATTTTGGAAAATTTTCAACAGCCTTTTCTTGAAAACAAGAAGGCAAAATGCTTTTTCCTTTATGGATAATTGATTATTGGCAAGATATACACCAGCTAAAACTTTTTTTGAGTTAAAATAATAAAAAAAATTTCATGTCAATAAATTAAATATGAGCACTTTTTTCACAAAAACTGTAACAGTACTTTCTCAGAAATTACAATCAAAAATGCAATTTCCATTTGGAAAATTAATAAACTCTAAAAAATACACGACCTAAGATTTACCAATCACGAAAATAACAAAAAAAAATTTTTATTAAATATTTAACATATGGACACTGTTTTACTGATTGTGACAGCCCTTTGGTAGATTATGTATTTCCGGTGGTTAGCAACAGCGCCAATCTCCTCCTTTCGGCAAAACTGCGAAACGTCTGGTGACACATATAACCTGCCAAACGGCTGTCATAATGAGTAAAATATGTTATGTTAAAATACTTTTTTTTTGTTATTTTCGTGATTGGTAAATCTTAGGTCGTGTATTTTTTAGAGTTTATTAATTTTCCAAATGGAAATTGCATTTTTGATTGTAATTTCTGAGAAAGTACTGTTACAGTTTTTGTGAAAAAAGTGCTCATATTTAATTTATTGACATGAAATTTTTTTTATTATTTTAACTCAAAAAAAGTTTTAGCTGGTGTATATCTTGCCAATAATCAATTATCCATAAAGGAAAAAGCATTTTACCCTCTTGTTTTCATGAAAAGACTGTTGAAAATTTTCCTTAATTTTAGTTTCAATGTAGATGGCACTGCCTCACTTGGACCTGGCCTTAATAGAATTTTCATTCGTCCGAAATTGAAAATGGCCGAACAAACAATCGATAGAAAGATTTCGATAAATATTTTGTAATATAGAAAATCTGTTTGATGAAAATTCTCCAAAATACTAATTGGAACAAATAAAAACTCAGCTTAAAAGTAGCGTTATGCGTCCCAAAAAATTGTAATTATAAATAAAATGTAAATATATTTTGTAATTAATAATTTCTTTTCTTTTTTAGATGAATTTGGAAATGAAAAAAAAACTTCAATGTTCGATGAGGCAAAAATTGAAGCAACTGTAGCATCAAGATGGCTTTTAAATCCCGCTTATATGCATACTTTTGGAATTACGGACAATTATTTTATTATTGTTGAACAACCATTGTCCGTGGCATTAGTGTCAACAATAAAAAATCGTCTAAAAAATGAACCAATGCGCAGTTCATTAAAATGGCACAATGACGAAACTGTTAGTAAAATTATTTATTAAAAAATAAAATATAATAATAATAAAAATAGGTAAATGAAAATGAAATTTTAATAATGCAATTTTTTTTTCAATTTACAGACACAAATTCACGTCATCTCGAGAAAAAGTGGAAAAATTGTGAAAACATTTTTAACAGAAGCTTTTTTCTATTTGCACATTATCAATCAATTTGAAACATTGGATAATGATTATGTTGTTTTAGATATTTGTGCATATCGAGATGCATCGATGCTCGATTGCATGTATATAAATGCTATAAATGTATGTAAATATAAAAAAAATAATTTTTTTTTTTATTTTTATTTTATTTAAATATTTAAAATAATTAATGCTCTGAATGCAATTATTGCAAGTTTTTGAAAACTCTAATTTTTAAAAATAAAAACTTTTAAAGCTCAAAAAATTATATGTAAAATTGAAAATTTTTAAAAATTTAAAAACTAAAAATTATGCAAGACCGGAACAAAAAGAAACTTTTATAAGATTTTTTAAAATATTTGATAATAAATTTTAATAATAAATTAATTGATTTTGTGATAATAAATTAATTATTAAAAATAATTTAATCTTTGTACTAAAAAAACGATTTTAAATACAAGAATATTCAAAAATTGTATTTTCAAAAAAAAATTTTTTTGAGCTCGCCGAGAACCAAAAGAAGCAAATATAACATTAACAAAAATTTAATAATTTTTCAAAATAATTCAATTTTAAAATCCAAAAATAAGATTTTTAATCCAGAAATATTTTTTTAAAAAAATTGTCAAAAATCAATGTTTTAATGAATTCTGCTAGTTTAGTACCAAATGAATCTATTGTAACATTTTCGAAAACTTCTAAATTTTTGAAAATAATTCAATTCAAAAATTATTATTTTTTTTTTAAATTAATTTTGTGCGGAATTGTGCTTGCTTACCAAAAAAAAAGAATTAATTATAACATTTTCAAAAAATTTTCGAAACATACATATTAATTTATTTTTTGATTTTAAACTTCAATTACTATCAAAAATTGTTAAGTTTTCAAAAATATTATACAGTTAATCTTTTTGTGCTGAGTGAGCACAATTCAATACAAAATTTGTTTTTGAAAAATAATAATTTTTGAATGTTTCTAGTTTAAAAAATCATTTTTAAATTGAATTAAGTATTTTGAAATCTTTTTTTGATATTTTTAAAATTTGAATAATTTAAAATATATAAAATCATTGCTAATTATTAATAAGTACTATAAGTACTGCTAATTATTAATAATAATTAATATTATGTTATAATCATAATTATAAAAAATAATAATAATAATAATTTTTCATTTCTAGAGTATGCAAACAAATCCCGATTATGCAAATTTATTTCGAGGAAGACCATTACGATTTATATTGCCAATGAAAAATATATCCGATAATACATCATCAGAGGAAAATTTAATAAAAACAGAGACAGTTAATCAAAGTTTTGTGAAAAATTTGTCAGATAATAAAATTTCTTTGAAGAATAAGAAGAAAAAAGGAAAAAATAGAAAAAAAAGTCTTCTCAATGGAAAAGCAAGTGCCCATAAATTGATTAATGGAAAAATTTTTGTAAACCCAGAACTTTTATGTGATCTTGGATTAGAAACGCCACGCATAAATTATGATTATTTTCTTGGTAAAGAGTATCGTTATTTTTATGGTATATCGAGTGATGTCGATCTGGATAATCCAGGAACGGTAAGAAAAAAAAAGAAAAATATTTTATTTACTATTATATTATTAGAGAGTGAGAATTTTTCAAACGGATCAACTAAAATTAAAAAATTTAATTATATTTAATACCACCAAGTGATAAATTTTTCAAAACCTATAAAATATTTAATATTCAATGTTAAATCATTTTCTTTTTACTCCTAATGTGATTAAAATAAATTTTTAAAATTATTGGAAAAAAAAATTTTTTTTCGCCATTGACATGAAAAGTGTCTTTTTGTGCCTGTTTTGGGCAGATAAAGTAGCACTTTTTAAGGCAGTTTGGGCCAACTGCCTAAAAAAGACTTTTTTAGACAGTTGTTAATTTTTGCATAATTTTTGCAATACCGGAATAATATATAAATATATATAAATATATATAAATTCTTTTAAAAAATAAATTTTTTTTCTTTAAAATTGTTTCACTTTTTCATAACAATGACGAAAAAATAGCGTATGTGGCACGCACGTAGTAATTTTTAAGTTCGGATGATTTCAATACTCGCTGTCGTTAGTCCGACTTCGGTTCGACTTGGCTCGTCTTCGTCTCACCTACGTCGCACTAACGACAGCTCGTACTGAAAATTACATCCTCACCAAAAAGTACTACTTTACGTGCTTGCCACATAATATACTATTAATTTAAAAAAACTTAATAGAAGAAAATAAAATTTTTTGTTTAAAAAAATTATTATCAATTGAAATTTTTAGCAGTTTTAAATAACTTGCCCTTGATATAACCTTAAACTAAAATTTATAAAATTTTCAAACATAAATATGTTGAACTCAAAGAGAATTCTTCAAACATTCTAAACAAATAAAATTGTTTTTATTAAATAATTGTTTAACAACATAATTTCTTTTGAAAATTGTACAAGTGAATTTTACGAATTTTGATGAAATAAATTTTAATTATATATAGGTACCATTTTATTTGTTATTAAAAATAACTATATTAGGCCTAAGCAGAATGAAATCTCTAATCGTAAATCTTAAGAAAGAGAAAAGGATAGAAATAGCTTTTGTCCTTTTCTCTCTCATGTATAAAAGCTTAAGATTTACGATTAGAGGTTTCATTCTGCATTGGCTGTTGAATTTGGCCCATTAAATAATTAGAATAATTACTATTTTTTTATAAATAATAAAATATGTGTAAAGAGAGGTACAAAATAGGTATATTAAGTTGGCGCAACCACATTATCGAAATTACTTTTTACCTATGCCATAATTAAGTGCTCATTTAGTGCTAATTTAATGCCAAAAGCACAAATTTAATGCTGTACATTTTTTAAAAAAAAACCGTGGTGGCGCCAGCTTAACGTTAAGGTAGCGCCACCACATAAAAAAAAGCTGCAAAAAATTTTCTTATTGATACCATAATTTAGTGCTCATTTAGTGCTCTCCAAATATTTTGCTCTTAATTAAAAATATGAGATTTTAAATGTTAGATTTGTCCAAAATCAAGTTTCAGACAAAAACAAGTTTAACCACTTACATTTTTTTAATTTAAAAATTTAAAAATTAATCGATTGACTTGATACCAGTTACACGGGGGTTTTCGGGGTCGCTGATTAGGAATCCGGTATCATTTTTTCAAAATTTAAAATGGCGGAACCAATATGGCGGATGACAAAATTAAAAATTGACCGAATATGTTTGAAACTCGTTACTTGGAGGTTTTCTGGGTCGCTCATTACGAATCCGATGTTAAATTTTTTACGAATAAAAATTTTGAAATTAAAAAAAGATATAACCTCATCCTCTTTGCACAAAGAAAGATTTCTACTTGTGGAGCAAAAAATTTAAAATGGAGAAAAATTTATTGGCAAAAAATCTCCATTCTCTCTTTAGGGGAAGGGAGTAATCATTGTTAAATTAAAAAATTTGATTTTCTTTTCATTTTGAATTTTTTAGGACACAAGTAGCAACCTTTTCATTTGTAGAGAGGAGAAGTTTAAATCTTAATTTTTATTGTCAAAAAAAATTATTAGTAATACTAATTACTTTTTACCTATACCATAATTAAGTGCTCATTTACTGAATTTTAATGCGAATAGCACAAATTTAATGCTGTACATTTTAAAAAAAAATCATGGTGGCGCCAGCTTAACGTTAAGGTAGCGCCAACACATAGAAAAAATCTCTAAAAAATTTTCTTATTTATGCCATAATTTAGTGCTCATTGAGTGCTAATTTAATGCCAAAAGCACAAATTTAATGCTGCACCCAGAGAATAGATTACTTTGATTTAAAGAAATCAGTTTCTTTGACTTGTTTTATTTCATTTAAAATAAAATTTTCTTTGAAACAAAAAAAGCTTATTAGTTTCAGAGAAAATTGTTCTTTAAATCAAAGAAATTCTAACATTGAGTCATGGAAACATTTATTTGAAATAAATAAAAAATTTCTTTTAACGAAGATAAATTTTTTTAATCACAGAAAATTTGTTTGAAACAAATAAATTTTCTTTGAAGCAAAGAAATATTTCTCAAAGGAATTAATTTCTTTAATTCAAAGATATCGTTTTTCTAGGTCCGTTAACCTGGCTTGTCCACATTGTCCGATCTGGATAAAACCTATTTGAAAATTAAGGGCTAATTTAAGGCTAATTTAATGCCCTAATGACGAATTTAATGCTCGGCATTTTCTTTAAAAAACTTGTGGACAAGCTAGCTTAACATTAAGGTGGCTTTTCCACACAATGAAGGAGCACTCGTAGGAAAGTCTACTATAGGTCAAAATTTAGGGTTTTTTAAGGCTTTTCAATGCTTTATTGACGAATTTAATGCCAGCATCATTTCGCGAAATATTTGCAAAAATTTAATTCTTACTTGATATCAGTTTGTCCACACAATGAAGGAACACTCGTAGGAAGGTCTACTATAGGTCAAAATTTAGGGCTTTTTTAAGGCTCCGCAATGCTCTATTGACAAATTTAGTGCCGGCATAATTTCGCGAACTAATTGCAAAAATTTAAATTTAACGCTATATTAGTTTGTCCACATATCGAAGGAATACTCTTAGGAAGGTCTTCAAGGTGTCAAAATTTAGGGCTTATTTAAAACTCTTAAATGCTTTAATGCCAAATTTAACACTACCTTAGCAAGTCTAAACGATTTTATTTAAAAATAAGCACTTAAGAATTACTTGCTTATTTATTTCTCGTAAATAGCACTGTATTGGCTGTTTAAAAATTATCTACCAATCCTAAAAACTACCCCCGACTAGTTCAAAAATTTATTTTTGAATTTTTTTATAGAAAATAACGATTTTTTTATAAACAAATTATTTTTTTTAACTTTAGACCCGTTGTTTTACTTTTTTTATATTTACATACATGGAAATACTACTAAAATACTTTGCAAAATGTTTTACTGATAACCTGATTACCCTTTTTGGATGACTACTCGAAATTTTTTTTTGCAAAATCTTCTTACTATTTTCAGGTATGTAAAAATAAAAAAAAGTAAAAATAATAGCTTTCACAGTTTAAAAAAATTAATTTGTTTATTAAAAATCGTTATTTTCGATAAAAAAATGTAAAAGAAATTTTTGAACTACTGAGGCGAAGTTTTTGAAGTTGGTGGATCGTTTTTGAAAATGCAATTTAGTGCTATAATAATGAGCCTTAAATTAGCCCTATATTCCAAAGTACTTGTTTTTTGTAAAAACTGAGTTTGAAGTACTCAGGGGTAGTTTTTGAAATTGGTGGATCATTTTTGAACATCTAATTTAGTGCTATTTAACCCCTTCACTGTTATTGACCTCTATAGAGGCAAAAAAATGTCGTGCCACCAGTGTGCATGACCGCTATAGAGGCATCTCAAAAAAAATAAGTAGACACAAAATATGATAAATTGGCGATAGTTTACTTCATTATTTTAATAATCGTTTACTTCATTATTTTAACAATACAATAAACTTGTCAATGGGTATTCTTAGATTTTCGGGTTTTTTTTAATATCAATTTAAAAAAAAAATTTTTTTTCCCACATACGGGGCACTGAAGCTTTATTTTTGCTACACTGCGAAGGGGTTAAGAACCCTAAATTAGCCCTAAATTTCTAATTACTTGATTTTGAAAAAATTGATTTTGATTTTCTCAGGGGTGGTTTTTGAAGTTGGTGGATCATTTTTGAATATCCAATTCGGTGCTCGTAAAGAGCCATAAATTATCCCTAAATTCCTAAGTACTTTTTCATGAAAAAATTGAGTTTGAAATACTCATGTATAGTTTTTAAAATTAGTGGATCACTTTTGAACATTTATTTAGTTCTATTTAAGAGCCTTATATTAACCTTAATTTCTAAGTACTTGTTTTTTGAAAAAATTGAGTTAGAACTACCCAGGGGTAGTTTTAGAAGTTAGTAGATCATTTTCGAACATTTAATTTAGTTCTATTTAAGAGCCTTAAATTAGCCCTAAATTTATAAGTACTTGTTTTTGGAAAACATTGTGTTTGAACTAATTATGTGTAGTTTTTAAAATTGGTGGATCAATTTTGAACATCCAATTTAGTGCTATTTATGAGCCCCAAATTCTTTAGTACTTTTTTTTGAGAAAATTGAGTTAGAACTACTCAGGGGTAGTTTTTGAAATTGGTGGATCATTTTTGAACATCTAATTAAGTGCTTTTTAAGAACTCTAAATGTGTATGTTTTTGTTTTTTGAAAATATTAAGTTGAATTATTTGAGGGTAGGTTTTGTGTTTGGTTTTCTATCAGTTACATGGTTGGGGTGCTTGGGAGTGCATTTTTAAAAAGTCAATTTAGTGCTATTGAAGAACACTAATTTAGCTCCTAAGTCCTATATGATTATTGTTTGGTTAAATCAAGTTTTAATAATTGGGGATGTTTTTTTGAACTTAGGGGTGGTTTTTGAAAAATTTAAATAGTCTTAGTTGAGAACCCTACTCTCTAAATCTGACTTAGTAGTTTTCTACTAATGAAAGAGTGCGTATTCGTTTACCAATTGAATTAGTAACA